AATGACTGTTTTCGATGTTAAGTCTCACCATTTCAACGCGTTGTTTCGGTGTGAAGCGATCCATGGCGAAAATTGTACTAAATTAACGTTTCCAAAACATATCTGCTGCAATCGCTCGGTTGGTAAATGTGAAAGTTATTCAACGTTGACATACCGACATAAAAGATGGAGCACCCTGTATGTATATACAAAATTTTTAATTTCACACACAAGCGTGTATGTATGTATGTACATCTACTTTCTATGTGATTAAATTAAGATGAGCCACAATGACCGATATACGAATAAATGGCAAGCATATATGGATATTGACATATGTATGAATGTATGTATGTCTGTATGTATGTATGTATGTATGTGTGTTTATGTATATATAAAATGCGTCCTGCTCTATGATGAGCCACCAAGTTACTTTCGAACTTTATTGCGGCCTTTCATCTGCAACCACATTTCTTGCTTATGATAATTGCACCTCAACTTACCGTTGTTTATTTTTATTTCTTAATTATTCGATATTATTATTGCAAGTCAGAGGTGTCTGTGGATTATACAATATTACGCAACAACATCTTCAAAAAATCATTAAGTTCACGCGTATTTCATTACCAACAATAAAAACTGAAACTAAATCGCTAGTAAAAATACACATACTCATATAAGTACGTATGTATGAGCATAACATATGTATACATACATACACGTACATACATACATACGTAATATGAAGGCAATCATGTCCATTTATTTGCGCAGCTGAAGAAGTGTCTACTGAAGTAAAAAGTAGATTTGAATGATTTTTTTATCACTTTTACGAAAACGCATCACTTCACACATACATACATACATTCATACATACAAATACATGCACTTAGTAAACTTATAAGTGCTGTCCTTGACTTAAGCACCTAAATAAGTGGCTAAAATACTTTTTACATCTAATTTATTTCACTTAATTGTGGTCTTAATAACAGTAGATTAGATTTACTTTTTATTTTGTTATTCTTTTTCTTAATTGGAATAAGCACCACTTTCACGATTATGACCAAATTGACAATAATGCCAATAGCGCCAGTCGTTTCTTCTCTTCAAAGTTCGGTGCCAATTGGGGCCAACAAGCGAAACCAAGTCATGCTACACCAAATCTTTTCAACAGATTTATGTTCTTCTTTTCCTCTGCTTCCAACAGCGGTTATCACATCGAATACTTTCAGAGCTAGAGGGAGTACGTCGGTCCAGACGGCCTTTATCCGAGTCTTTGTATCAGTTATATGAATTACATTAGCATATGGTTCTTCTAGTGCGTTAAGGAACAACCTTTCTCATCGCATAATAAGCGAACTGTAGGACTATACTGATCAATTGTCTTCTCAGGAGTTAATCTACGTTGGATAGACAAAATTTTCTACGTCTGCAAAGTTATGTCTATTAACATGAAGTTTTAAGCCGAGGCACACACTCCGCCTGACTTTATTTCGTGATAGGAGATATTTCGTCTTCCAGTAGCCAGACCCTTTGACTTCACTTAAATATACTGTTAGGCAAGCACTGAGGACATGGCTATTGATGCGGATGTCAACAAAATTATATCTTCATATCGTCCTTCTGTTCCCTCGATGCGTCAGTCGGTCATTCGGTCGGTCGGTCGAAAATCAGCAATACTCGTATGTCAAAGAATTTTCCCTTAAGACAGATTTTTCCAACACCAAACTTGCACAAATTATATATATAACCACTAAAATAAAAGTCACAAGGACCTATTGTGTTTTCTTACCTTCATCGCAAAGTTAATATACTAGAACGTTTGCCGTGATTGTCATCAAGATTGGGAGCGCTCTTGAGGTTGACATCTCTCTCTCTCTCTCGCTCTTTTTCTCTCTCTCTCTCTTTCTCTCTCTTGCACTCTCTCTCTCTCTCTCTCTCTTGCACTCTCTCTCTTGCACTCTCTCTCTTGCACTCTCTCTCTTACTCTCTCTCTCTCTCTCTTGCACTCTCTCTCTCTCTCTTGCACTCTCTCTCTCTCTCTCTTGCACTCTCTCTCTCTCTCTTGCACTCTCTCTCTCTCTCTCTTGCACTCTCTCTCTCTCTCTTGCACTCTCTCTCTCTCTCTCTTGCACTCTCTCTCTCTCTCTTGCACTCTCTCTCTCTCTCTCTTGCACTCTCTCTCTCTCTCTTGCACTCTCTCTCTCTCTCTCTTGCACTCTCTCTCTCTCTCTTGCACTCTCTCTCTCTCTCTCTTGCACTCTCTCTCTCTCTCTCTTGCACTCTCTCTCTCTCTCTCTTGCACTCTCTCTCTCTCTCTCTTGCACTCTCTCTCTCTCTCTCTCTCTCTCTCTCTCTCTCTCTATCTCTTTCGTTGGAGTCGTGTTTTATGTGAGGTCTGATATTTATAAGACACATTTACATATATATATAGAGAGCAGCTTGCCTATAAATCAAACGTTCGGTAAGCCATTAAAACTAATGTAGTGGAAGTTCCCTCTCTTACAACGGTGGGCCATGTCTCCATACAGGTTTTTGCGCAAAAGTTATTCTCACGATATGATTTGCACACAACATCAGCGGGCACTATTGGGCATACTCAGAGGTAAGACTACAAGACCTAGTGCACCCCAGGCCTCACTTCGGTTTTTATCTCCTCAATCATACTAAAACCGTAGTCCTTTCATGGGTGCCTTCAATCTTGGCAAGAACTTCTGAAACTTTAAGAGCTGCGTGTGTTTTTTAAGGTTTGGACCATCTGAACTTTTTCATTTCGACAATAGCGCTTTGTTATGAACTTTTTAGGCAAACCAAATTAAATAATTTTGACATTGTTCAACAATTCCTGAGTGATGCGCCAATATCCTCAACAAGTGCACTTCTCAATCTAACAATTTTTCATATATTGATTGCCCCAAACGAGAAAATTTTAATCAAATTTTGTTGAATGGCTTTTCGCCATCTTTCCGGCAACATCATTATTCCACGCTCATTCATTACCAGTCAAGCTCTGACAGTTTTTTTTGACCAAATTTAAGTACGGCCTAGCATTGTCCTGGTGGAATATGACACCTTTACGATTGACCAATTCTGGCCGCTTTTCATTGATGGATGTATTTAATTTGTCCAGTTGTTTACAGTAGGCATTCGAATTAATCGTTTGGTTCCTCTGAAGCAGCTCAAAATATACCACACCCTTTCAATCCCACCAAACTGACAGCATAATCTTCTTTTGGTGAATATCAGACTTTTAAATGCTTCGTGGCGCTTCATCATGCTTGGACCATGATTGTTTTCGATTGACGTCATTGGTCAAGCATTGGACCTTACCAGTGCTGTTTCAGACCACCATTGACCAGATATTCGCCATGCGAGAAAAGATGACCGACACACTCCAACTCTCTCTCGATTTTAAAGCAGCTATTGACAGCACGAATAGGAGGTACCTCTACGCAGCTATGACTGAATTCGGTATCCTCGCAAAACTTATACGGATATGTAAACAGACTTTAAACAACACCAAAAGCTCTGTCAGAATTGGGAAGGACCCCTCCGAGTCGTACGGTACCAAACCAGGTTGGGGGCAAGGTAATTTCTTACCGTGTGACTTCTTCAACTTTTTGCTGGAAAAAATAATGCGAGCTGCATAGCTGAATAAAGCAGATATCTTCGATAAGAGTACACATATACAGCTGCCGTCAAATGCCGACGATATTGACATTATGGGCCTCCATGGGTTCTGCTTTCTCTAAGCTCGATAAAGAAGCGAAAGTAATGAGTTTTATAGTGAACGAGGGAAAGACGAAGTATTTTCTATCATCAAAAAAAAAAAAAAACAGTCATCGCATTCGCGATTTCACCTCCACATCTTTGTTGAGAGTCGTCGATAACTTCGTCTATCTTGGAACTAGCATTAACACCAATAAAAATGTCAGCCCAGAAAATCAGCACAGAATCACTCTTGCCAACAGATGTTACTTTGGATTGAGTAGGCAATTGAAAAGTAAAGTCTTCTCCGATGAACGTAGACCAAGCTCTACCAGTCGCTCAACATACAAGCCCTATTGTATGGTACAGAAGCATGGACTATGAAAACAGCTGAAAAGTGGGCGTTGGGAGTCTTCGAGTGAAAGTTTTTGCGTAAAATGTATGGTCCCTTGCGGATGGGCAACGGCGAATAGCGCAGCAGTTGGAATGAAGAGATGTATGAGTTAAATGGCAATATTGACATAAGTCAGCGAATCAAGAAACAACGGCAGCGCTAGCTAGGTCATGTGAACCGGATGGATAAGAATACTCCAGTTTTCGAAGCAAAAACCGCAGGTGGAAGCAGAGAAAGAGAAGGACCTCCATTCTGTTGGAGAGATCAATTGGGGAAGGACCTAACTGCACTTGGTATTTCGAATAGGCGTCAAACAGCGAAGAGAAGGAAAGAATGACGCACTGCTGTTAACTGGGCTATAATCGCGTCAACGATATTCACATCAGCGAAGCAGAAAGAGAAAAAATTTTGTGTGGGGCTGTTCATAAAATCAAAAAAAACTATATACATATATTTATTTAAATCAATTTCTTTATGTTATGAGGCATTTATGTATGTATGTACTTATGTATGTATGACATGTTTTGTATCATTTTCACTTTTATGTACACTTTCTCAAACAAAATAATAATACTAATATTAAATTGAAAGACACATTACAGGCATTTACACCTTCTTCATTACACAAATGTACACATACATACATACATATATATATATATATGTATATAACATCAATACCAATGGAAATACAGAGTGAGCATTCACAACATGTCGCATTAAATTGAAACAAAAATCCCTGCAATTTCTTAATCTTCTTCAAAAACAATCCAAAATTCACAATTGCAATATTCAAACGGACATACACATCACATACATACATACATATGTACATACGTGTATACACAAATGTATATTTCGTACATCTTATGTGCTGAAGCGCATGCAAATGGTCGAATCAAATTTTTGTGAGCGGCTGCAACAAAACAAACGTTATACCGCAGCGTCGCCGTTTGCTGGGTGCCGAGGTGATAAAAAGCGGCAGGTTTATGCGTCAAGCGAAACATTCACGTATCGGCCGCGCGCTAGGTAAGAGATCGCTTCGGCGATAGTGCAAGTGAACGGAATAAAATAGTTATGGAGAAATATATGAAAATTTAGTGATTAATGAGTGTTAAAAAAAATTTAACAAATAAAAAAATTATTTTAAAAATTAAAAAAAAATTAAAATTTAATTAAGGTTTTAATTAAGGATTAAATTGTTGTCATGCATACACATGTGCTAAAAAAAAAAAGGAAAACGTTAAATAACTTAACAAAAATAATAAATAAAAAATATTTAATTTAAATATATTAACTAGCAAAAAATTTCAATTGCCTTCAAATTCAAATCAAACTTTATACATTTAACGGCATCTTTTCTCCTTCATTGCAGTTCCTGAATTACAACAAGAATAAACAAATAAAAAAAAATAAGATGAAAACCCTCATTGTGTTTGGTGCACTCCTCGCCGTGGCATTGGCCCATCCTCAACGTGAAGGTGCCGCCTACACCAACGAAGCCATCCGCCAGGCGCAACAGACCTTCCTCATACCAAAAGATGCGCAAATTCAAAATGTGCAAGAAGGCATTGAGCTGGGCGCTTACGAAGCCATACCCGGCAATCAACGGATAAATCTATTCGAGATCCTCGGCGATCAAGTGCCATCGGAGGTAATAAACAATCTGCAGTCACAAGTCGATCAAATTGGTAGGAATAAGTGAGCACGGCAGACCGTTGTGCGTTCTAAGAAATGTTAACTAAATTTTAATTAAATTAATTTTATTATTTTCATGAAAAAAAAATGCATTTGTAATTACTTTTCGTTCAATTAGTTGTTATGAAAAATATATTAAAAAAAAAGTGAAAATATTTCAACATTTTTTACATCTATCATTTATCGTTAGCGTACATATGTTGACCAAACAAGAGACATGGACAATGGACAATGGACAACACGGTACGGTTGGTGTGAAGACACTTCAGCGCAATGAAAAGTGAAAGTCTATTGATTTATTTGGAAAACGTCAATCACCGTTAGGAAAGTCCCATAATAAGTTACCTAACAAGTTCGTTCGCAATCCGCTTCATGCTTCCTCCTTTCATTTTTATAAAAAAAAAAAGGCCTTAAATGTGCACTAGCGTATGGAGATACATAGATATGTATGTACTAGCATGTGAATACGTATACTCATATATGTAGGTACATTTCTATTGCATTGCTGTTGTGTAGTTGTAGGAGTATATTATACAATTTGCCCATCATCTACGTGTAGCTACTCCCCACTTTCACTGCGCGCTTGTTGCTCGCTCGTGATCATGCACAGAATTTGATCGCTACGAACGAAATTCAATTTGTTGTAATAATGTAACTCCAACGGGAAAGGGCAAGTATGTAAACAAGACAGCTGTTGTACTCCAGTGGCATGCTAATTAACCACGTCGTTAATTTAACTTTTTGTATTTTCTTACTTTTTTTTGCAATAATATGAACATATTCAGACGCACTACAGAGCTGGCGAATGGCAACTGGTCAACAAAATTAAATCTTTTTTAGTCACATGAAAGTCTGCATACGAGTATTTCAAGCTAGCAGACCCGGCCACACTTTGCTCTGGCTTACTGTATTTTGTCCAATTTTTATTCTACTCGGAGAACGATAAAAAAAAACTAAGCATCATCGGTCGCGATAGTCGAGTGTTTAACACTGAGTACAGTCATTCGAAAGGTCAGGGCTCGAGTCCTGGTCCGAGTAATATGTAAAAATTATAGAAATTTAATTTAAATAAAATATTAGATTAAATTTTCTGCTAGCGATCGCCCCTCGGCAGGGAATGTCAACCCCTCCGAGTATGATTCTGACATGAAATAAAGCCTCCTCTTAAAAATCCATTGGACGCTCGGAGGGAGCTTAGTATACCCTGTAGGTCCATGAGGAAAGCAACGCCTAAGCGGTTACAAATCACCAATTGTATATATACGAGGTGTGGAAATTAAGTAATGAGGCTGATTCCTAAAAAATCGTGTATTTCAAAATTATTCTACAACTCTGCCAACCCATTCAAAGTTATCCCCTTGGGTAGCTATACAATGATTCCACGGTGATCTCTTTGGAAGTCAAATATTGGAACACGTGAAGGATTGTGTGGCATGGCCCGATGTCGTGATGAAGTATCCAGTTACGAGAGATATCTGGACGCACCCGGTTGACTCGTTTTCGCAATCTTTCGAGTACTTGGCAATAGTAGACTTGATTTACGGTCGATCTTCACCTCGACTGGTCTCCCGCTCCGACTAAGAGCACTATTGTCACGCACTTTTACAATTTTTCCGTACGGTTTCCCCGACCCTTTGCTCTTGACTTCGTTTTTCCAAAATTTCCGTGACGAGCACCACAAACGCACGTTTACCCAACTCAGCAAGCGAACTAAACAAGCTAGAGCGAAGGCAAATTTTTCAATGGAGAGGAGAAGGATGCTGGAAGGAAAGGAAAGGAAATTTCAAGGTCGTAGGGACAACATAATCAGTCTCGCAAATCGACCTTGTTTCCAGGCCAATAGAACTTGATCCATTTCCAGGAAATAAATGTTTTCCTTTTGAGCATATCATCTAAAAACTTGACTAAGCCGATCGGAGAATTAGTATATTTTCCTCGCAAAAAGCCATCTAAATACATATATGTTGAATTATACGCAAATTGAACAATAAAAATCATTTTTTCAAATTGTCAGTTCCTGATACATTTCCCGGAGAAATGAGTAGTCCTCTTCTAAGCAAAAAAAAAAAACCAACCCCAAATCGAAGGTTCTGAAAGAACCTCTCTACTTGGTCGTCACTCACAGTACCCAAAAATTACTGAAAGAAATCCAAATGGGAGTCAAATGTTTTTAGTGATTTATTAAGTCGCAAAGCTGGATACGAAGTTAAAACTTCATTTATTAGTTTTTCATGATTGTTTTTCAATCTAGACTCTAAAAGCTCAATCTGTCATGGGTACCACGAATTTTAAAAGAGGTCCAAAAAGTGGCTCAAGTTCATTTTGCTCAATTTTTCCTAAACAAATTCAAAAATGGTCAGTCTAGCAACCTAAGTAGAGTCATTACTAGTGATGAATCGTTGTTCTATAAGTACGATCCAGAAGCCAAACATCAGTCCATAGTATGAAGACCAAATTCCTTCACCCGATCTCAAATTTTAGCTGCTATTCCTCCGGAAAAGGGTCAGACGATAACTGCGAAATGGTACAACGACGAGTGATTACCAAAAGTTTTCAAACATTTTTTGCAAAAAACACTAAGAAAAAGGATTTGCGGCGCTACTTTTTACATCACGACAACGCGCGATTCCTCAACCCTGAAATAACTAGTAATTTGATTGCGATTTCTGGGATCAAAGAGCATCATATATTCCGGATATAGCAATTTTGCGATTTCTGGTGATTTGCAAAAATTAAAAAAATTTAAAAAAAAAGGTCTTTAATAGCAACGAGCAGATAATTAATCACCTTACTCCGCAGTATTAGGGCGCTTGTCCAACATGGACACCATGATGACAGGCATGCGTTACCGAGGGAAAATTCTTGAGCCCATACCCCACAGCGTTTAAGATTTGGCAGGTCGAGCCCTGTGACTTGCCCACTGACCAAGCTACTCAACTTGATCTTTCCCGGTAGGAGTTTTAGAGGGTTACTATCTCCCGCGGGAACATAATTCTGAACTAAGGCCCTCAATTTGCTATTGGCCACGCCTGGTGTAGTGGTTCTGCTCCTAAGCCTTTATCTCGTTGTTTTTTTTCTTTTTTTGTAGAGCTTCTCCAAGCTCGCTTAAGAACATGCCTCAATAACTTAGGTCATCGAACCGGAGGTCCAGGAAAAGAGCTGGCCTCGGACCAAAGAGTTAGATGTGTCGATTTCAGGGGACATGTAAAGAGGTGGTTAGCATCGTGCGGGTATTCGTACTCGTTACCTGCGGGACATACGTTGAGCATGTCGGGGTCGAGTCTCTAGTTTAACCTGTTACAATATCAACACTTAAGTTGCGCCAGTATTACGCAGGGCTCTCGAGGCAGCTCGAGCTCTTCGTCCGCTATGGGTAGTGATTTGACTCCGATAACGCCATTTACAGGACGAAAGATCATGAAGGTGTTAACCGACTCTTGGCAAATGGCGTTAAGTGCTTATCTGTACACCGTGGTTGTTGTTGCGGGAGTGACACTAATTTGACGGATAAAATAACTGGGTCGTTCCAGTATAAGACCCGACTTTTGCGCACCATTGGATTTTAGTCGCCTCTTACGACAGATATGCCTTACGGTGGGTAAATTATTGAACTCATGTTGTTGTTGTTGTAACCGCAAAAATATTCCCCAAAGTACTTTTTGGGGAATGTTGCGGAAGTGACAGTCCTTGGCCGTATAAAAATCCGGGTCGTTCCAGTATAAAGGAGAACCATGGGACTTTAGTCGCCTCTTACGTACCGTACCGCGGGTAAATCCTAACCAGTAGCGGTTGTTGTACATGTTGCTGAATGTAGTCTTTTAAGTCAAGTACTCCCTTTCTGATGTGCTTGGGTGGTGTTTCAGTATTATCTTCCCTAACTCATAGCATATTTGCATCGCTGTGCAAGTGATGCACTGTCGACATCAGAAGATTTCCTGTCGCGGTCCTTAGGGTGGTGTTTTGACAGGCTTGTAACTTCTTCGTCTCGTTTCAACCGAAGCACAGATCGGTACAACGCAATTTACAATCGGCCGGCCAATTGCTTTATACTTTAGCAGCAAATTTTCATTATCTTTTCCCCAAGTGCTGCCGGCTAACGATTTGTTCCTTTAGAGTTTTGCGTCAGTTACCGTCGTATGCGGAGTAAAGGAGTACAGGCTGTTGAATGTGACTCCCAGCTCGACGCTGTGCTCTTTCGCCCAGCAGGTGAATAGGATAGCCGAGAATTTTGTGGATTGCAGTCTTAATTGTCTTGCATGGGCTGTCAGCACCCTTTTAGGGCAGCAGATACATTAGTCTAAGTTCAACAACGGAGCAATACCTCGCAGCCGGGCTGCTCCAAATCGTTCTCATTAGGGCTGGCGTCGAAAACAACCCTGGTCCGACGGATTATTTCTGCTGCATTAAGGTGGTGTCCTCTCGCAGCTATTGTTTATTTCTATATATTGCAAAGCTCCCATCACAACGAGAGGTCATTTCACTCATAAATCTTTTGTTGGCCTTACGTGCAGCATACGTATCTCGAACAAATCGCTGCCGCAAAGAATAATTAACAGAATTTCAAATTTTAGCGGAAAAATTTAATAAAACCATTTTTACACTTTACTGCAACTTTCCAGTATTTATTATCTCAAGCTTTATATTTTATTATATAAAAATCTAATTTAGCTATTCAAATATGGGATATTTACTTTCACAGCGTTAGACACATTTACTTTAGTACACAATTATTTATCTTCGTCCATGCGTTCGGATGGCACCGCTTTTCGGGATTTGAAAACCCTTACAGTGTTGTCAGCACCACCGGACACAATATATTTTGGATTTGACCAATCAATGTCTAAGACTTTGTCACCATGACCCAACAAATCGTACAAGGGCGCTTTAGGGCTATGGGATAAATAAGATAAAATACGGTTTAAGAAAAATATAGCTTTTTAAAATTTTTGTTACTACCTTCTATAATCCCATAATTTATTTTGATTATCATAGGAACCAGAAATGAAGAGGTATTCTTCTGTTGTGGACCACATTACTGTTTGTACCCATTGACTGTGTCCGAAATATGTATTGCGCACAAGATTGCCCTCTAAATCAGATAATTAAAAAGAAAAATTATGATCTGTACATATCAATCATTGTGCCATTCAACTTACGATTCGTTCGTGGATCATAAAGTCGCAAATTTTTGTCAGCCGACGCAGTAACAATCAAATGATTCAGGTTGGAATAACTCGCATCAAAAATTGATTTATTGGCAGAAATTTCCGATTTAATACCTTCAAGATGCAGATCCCAAATTTTTAATGTATGATCCCAACTACTTGTCAAAAGTGTACTTGAATCCATCCATTGTACAGAGGAAATCGATTCACGGTGGCCTTGTAACGTAATTCGAGGTACCTAAAGTAAAATAATTGCAAAATTATAAGAATTTAAAAATATTATATTTAAATTTATATTTACCCTCGTTGTACCGCTTTCTTTAGCACGCTTTGATGTCCCCTCTCCTCCTTCATTGATTTCTGATTGAAAATTTTGAATTAATCCACATAATCAAATCTCTGTATAAATTAAATCCTCACCTGCCGACCATATTTTCAACATTGTATCCCAACTGCCGGTAGCGAAACGAAACTTATCTGGGCTTACATCGACACAATCGATACCCCTTTCATGTCCCTTACAAACTGATACACATTCTACTGAATTCGTTCCGACCCGCCATTCCCAAAGCATAGCAGTTTGATCTTGCGAGCATGACACGAATTTACCACTCTCGTCATCAACAGACACCCAAGCCACGGCCTTGAGGGGCTGAGTATGGCCCGGTATGGTCAATACATGTTTACCTTTAACAGTCCATATATTAATAGTATTATCATAGCAGCCTGTCAATATCCATTTGTCGCAAGCTTTTACTGCTGATACCCAATCGTCGTGAAGCAAACAATCTTGAGGTTCTGGTGCAGGAAAACGTTCAACGTATTCAATATCTACAGTATCTTCAAAAGAAATCTCCTTTTCACGTAAATGATCGCACAAGCGACCCCGTAAGTACTCGTCAATTACTATAAAATCAAACTCAATGGGGGAATTAGATTCACCAGAACTAATTGCTGCTTGCTCTAATAACGTGTTTACGAATGTATTCAGGTCAGCAGTAGTCACGTTTCCTTCAATTGTGTATGGAACATCCGGTACTGCGTACCTGTAAAACGTAAAAACGTAAAATAGATTTGTATTTATTTATATTTTATTACATACTGTTCTTGTTTAGTCTTTAGTCGCACTTGTACTTGTCCCTCGCCGTTTTCCGCTTCCATTATGTCGTTATAGCTTATACTTATATGCTAAAAAATTTATATTCTTATTGCTTTAAATCGTGTATTTCCGATTTTTTTAATATTTGTAAATTTGAAGGTATTTTTAATTTATACTTTGTTGATTTTTGTGGAAAGATCTAATAAAATCGTGGTATTTTTTCAAATCGTAGTACACATGTTGCCGAAAATGTCAGAATGCCATGACAGGGCTACCATCCCCTAAATTTTTTCAATTCATTTAAGGTGTCCTAGACGTAGCAACTAATTAATTTTAGACTGCCAGCCGAAATGAGAAATTTCGAAATTAGTTTCAAAATCAGACACATGTAGTATTAAAAATATCGTGTAAAATGAATTTCAATTTTTTAAAATAAGGTTTATTCACAATAGTTTACCTTAAATCTTTTTTGACAATACTGAAATTCTTTAACAGTAATTTCCAGAGATATAAAAATTGATAATGCAGCAATATTAATTGGAAATTTGATTTCGGAAATCAAATTGAAGCTAAATCAGTGCAGTCACTAGCTATATTTTTTATTTCTGCAATTTTGTGAAATTAAAATACAGAAACTATAGCTGCAGGGATAACACATACAAATCTAGAGTTTCTGGCTTCAAAGTGGCGCGAAAGAAATAAAAACTGGACGAATATTATTTTTAAATTAGTTTTAAAAATGATTAATTTTCTGTATTGACGCCGGCATATCTTTTGCAATAGTTTTTTGACAGCATCTTAATAAGCAACCAGGAGTTTAATGGATATACATTTTTTAATCTCTAGGATTTCATCGATTTAGTTCAAAATTTTTTATTTATATTTTTACCAAACAGCACCTGTTTCTAATTATTGTGGAGCTTGCGAGTAGTGTTGGCAGTGCTTTATGGGTAGCAAAAATATCTATGGGAGCACTACGTTGGTGGTCTACGTACGTTCCGTGTCAACTTTCATAATCACGCTTATAGGATTTTTAAGTAGATGTATCTCACCACTATATATCTGCTATGGTGGCAGCAGACGTTGCCGTGAGAATTCTAAGTAATTTAGATTTTTTCGTAAAAACGGCTGCCTTCTCTGCTATTTATGTGCTTCCTCATTTAGAAGTGAGGCGGACAAAGCGAAGGATTTCGTGAATGCAAACAAACAAATGATTCCAAATAAATGCACGCATTTTGTGGCCGGTGTATTTTGTAAAAATGTCAAGTAAAAAAACATATTTCTAGAGTTGCCTCGAGAGTTTGCCTCTTGAAATAATCCTCAACGGGTTAACCATACGTTTTTGAGTGTTATAGTGTTAAGGAAAAGTTGTACTAGATGAGGTGAACAGTTAACAGCGTTTGCCGGCTTAAGCGCGTAGTCTATAGCTGGACCACTCGCACTCACATAGAGCATTTGGTCGTGTATTTGCAAAAATCACCAGTCAACAACTCGACGTCAAACAATAAAAGCGAAAAGAAAAAAACGGTTTGATAATAGCACAAAGAATAAGAAGATCGGTGGAAAAGGCGAACGAATGAGTGGAAAAGCAACAGCAATGAAAAATCAAATTGATGCCTGATTGCTTGGTGTCTGTCTGACTTTCATTTATTTAAATAATTGGAAAATTTGTGTGTTTTTTACGTGTGGATTTGAAATAATAATAATTCCAAGAATTCTGTGGGAAGTTGTGTACAATTGAGAAACTCTGGTGGAGCACAACGGTCGCGAGACGCAGTGATTCTTTGTTAAGGCAAGTACCTACATGTTGAAATGAAAAATTTCACTAGAAGCTGTATAATAAAGAATGCCTAGATATAGACAGGCGAAGTGTGAGACCTCTATACGGCGGTAAGCTACGCTTCACTGTTTGGGAGTAGTGTAGTGAGGGCAATCTCCCTAGATATGATTTGTTGAGGTCTAAAAACCTAGTGGAAGCTGCAAATTATTAAACATACAAAATTTTCATATTTTGAAGAATAAATTCTTTAAAGTCAAGCTTAATTTTACAATTACATATTTGCGGATAACATGGCTGAAAGCTAATCGTTCATACGAGACTTTAGATGCAGTCATAATTGATTTTTCTTAATTTTACAGTATATTTTATGTTGGATAATGACATTGCTATTTGTTTGGTTTTATAATAGCAATTCGTCATCCATCCACTCAATAGATTTCTGCTTCTTATTTTTTTTATTCTCGCAATTAAATTCTCAAAATGGCCGCAAAATCCTTTTGTATTCTCATACAGCACAGTTTTTCAAATGAGGAAGTAGAAATAACAGCCTTGCGTCTAAGGATATGTTATATATGTATGTGTTTAATTATGAATATTTGTCAAACATTCTTCTATTTATAGGTCACTCGCTTTGCACGGCCCCTTTGATCTCAACTCATAACTTTAATACACGGTACGAGCGTATTTTCTGCAAATCCTAATAAAACTTTAGAAGTTTTCGTTGAGAAATGTCTTCAACATCGGCGGCCAGTGGTAGTGGTGGTACAAGTGGTGGCAGTTCTACTACCTCTGCCTCTCCCCCCGCTACTGGAAACAGCATGAACTCTAGTACCGCAAGGGGCCGAACTAGTAACTCATCAGGTGCCAACGCAAATAATTCAGGTGCCGGCAGCTCCAACGCTATTTCAAATAATTCTGTAAATGCCACTGCCTCCTCTGCGGCTGGTTCCGGGACTGCGGAAGAGACTCGCAAAGATCCAAAACCAAATCCAAAAATTTCCAAAGCTTTGGGTACCTCAGCTAAACGCATACAAAAGGAGTTAGCCGAAATTACACTTGATCCACCTCCGAATTGCAGTGCCGGTCCAAAAGGAGATAATCTTTACGAATGGGTATCTACGATATTAGGGCCGCCTGGCTCTGTATATGAGGGTGGGGTGTTTTTCTTGGATATTCATTTCTCACCAGAATATCCCTTCAAGCCACCAAAAGTGACATTTCGCACGCGCATTTATCACTGCAACATAAACAGTCAAGGAGTAATTTGCTTGGATATTTTAAAAGATAATTGGTCCCCTGCGCTGACCATATCAAAAGTATTGTTGTCAATTTGTTCCCTCCTGACTGACTGTAATCCCGGTAAGTGGTGTTCTGTTAGGCCCTTCAACGTTATTTTTTGCTGATTATTATTTTTATTTTTATTTTAGCGGATCCTTTGGTCGGCAGCATCGCCACTCAATATTTGCAAAATCGGGAGGAGCATGATAGAATCGCCCGACTTTGGACAAAAAGGTTTGCCCAATAACCGGGCAACAAATGTTCAATGTAAATTTAATTTAACCTGCTTTTTTACAGATATGCAACATGATTTCCTAATCTTATAGGTCCCAACAATAACAAAAAAAATTTGTAACAGCAGCAAATGTAAGAAATACAAAAATGTATATTTACAAAAAAAAAAATAAGATTTTCTGAAACGAATAATTGCAAATATCAAGAAAATAAATGATAATTGAAAATTTTTAATTTTAAAGGGAAGTTATCTTCTAACTATGTATAACTCTATATAATATATATATTAGTAATTAATGATAAAAATAATGCCTAATACAAAAAAGGAAAATTAAGCAGATATTGAGCAGGAATTGGTGACAGTTTTGTAGGATGGTTACTATATAATAACAAGTTTAAATAATAGTACATTTTATCACTGGCGATGCTTCCTATAATGGCGACCACGAAAATGAATGAAAACATACGAATGTGTAATATTGACACCATGGACAAAAACTACAATATTTTGTTAACATTTTCGGAAAATAATCGTACGTCGAAATTTAAAATGTTTTCTTTATTTTTTGCAATTCTGTAGTTCATTATGTAATAAAAAAAATGTTTACATTTTCAGCCACCATTATTATTTTTTATCAAATGAGTTCTGCAAAAATAACACGATTATTTCAGGCAAAGAAGTAGTTCAGATGTCAGCTTAGTTCGTACATATGTAAATTGTGTTTCCCTTTCTTTTATGTGTGAAAAATTAAGCAGCCAGCATACATACGAGTACACACCGTAATTTCAACTTTTGAATAAGAAATAAATAAACCAAATCTACTGATGATATGTCAACATAAAACAATGCTTAATATATTATAATATTATTATAATTTATAGCACTATGATTAATTGAACAGCAAAGAAATTGTAAAACGAAACGAAAATAAATTTAATTAAAGTAAGAGCTGACCGTTTTGTTCGAATAATTGTATTTAACAACGGAAATGAAAAGCAGGTGACAATTTCTTGTCTCTAAATTGTATAAATAATCACGAGCCTCAAATAAAAATTATGATAAAAAGCTCATAAAATACATATCTATAAAATTTTTCATTATTTTCCGCAATCAGAATGATTTCCAATTCACTTTATTAAATATTTAACACTTAATCAATTAAGGAAATCTCAATATCCTAACTGTCTCCGAGGAAATTAAAAAACACATATGTACATATGTATATTAAATTATTCTAATCGGTTCATTATTGCGAAAATATCATCGAACCTAAGCATTTTTAACCGACTCAAAAGAAAGTCAACAACAGATCAGCAATAATTCATTTATTATTGTACATATGTTTGTATGTACATATTGCAACATGCAATAAATGTTAAAAAAAAGAAAGTACAATTAAACGCAGAATGTCCTCTCGGTCGAATTTTATTAAGCGAAACTGTCCCAACAGCTGGACACATACAAAGGAAATGAAAACACGTACTCGTACATACCAAAAGACCCAGCCACACGTTGTTGTGTGCTTTTGTCCATTTTTTATATTTTTTTATTCTAATTGGGATTGTAAAGAACGATAAAGAAATACCTAATTAATCATAATCTAATTCAAATTAATTATTTTTTTTTATTAAATTATTGATATAATTGCAATTCGGAAGGACAAGGTTCAATTCCTTGTACGACCAACACCCGAAAGTTGTAGAAAATTTATGTAAATAAAATATTTAATTAAATTTTCTAAATGCGGTCGCCGCTCGGCAAGGAATGTTAACCCCTCAGAGTGTATTTCTGACATGAAATAAAGGCTGCTTGTAAAAAAATCAGCCGTTCGCAGGGTATAAACTGTAGTCCACATGTCGCAAAACCACAAAATGGAATAGAAGCGTGGTCGAAAATCGCTTCCGCGGTTACAAAAAGCCGATTATCATGACCGCTGCCGCCCGCTTCATCGCGGCAGGCCGAATTGCGGAAATCCGCCCAAAATTTCCGACAGTAGCGGCGGTATTAGCATCCAGGCGCGACACCCTCCAAAGCCTCGATCCCGGGAATCCCCTAATCAGGGATTTAAACGCGGAGATTCGAAGAGTAGTCAACATTCACAAGCGGAAAAAGTGGGAGGAGCACCTAAGGACCTGCAACCTCTCCTCTGGGGAAACCAAGCTCTGGGCTACAGTCAATTTCATCGGTGATCGCCTCGGGACCTAGTCGGACCCGAAGAGATGGGCGAGCTATTTTAGCCGACTTTTCACACTGCATCCCTCGGTAGACAAAGCGAAACGACGTGTAATTCGCCGTATGCGCAAACTGCCAAACACCAGCGCGGTGTTTGATTTCTCAAAGGAGGAATTCAGGGGGTCCTCGGGAAGGCGAAAGCCTCCAAATCCATCGGCCCCGATGCTGAAACACCTAGGACCAGCGGGAGCAGAATTTCTCACAAGGGTCCTCAATTTGTCTCTGACCACCCTAAAGATACCCGATGTGTGATCGGTCGATGTGTCATCGGTAATATTCCGAGGTGTAACATCTAAACTCAGGAAAATTAAACAGGGGGTTCCGCAAGGTGGTGTCCTCCCCCCGCTACTGTTCAATTTCTACATCTCGAAGCTCCCTCCACCACCAGAAGGAGTTTCCCTTACGTCTTATGCCGATGATTGTACGTTAATGGCGTCTTGCCAGGATATTGACGACCTCTGCTCGAAATTGAACGGCTACCTCGCTGATCTCTCCCACTTCTTCACTGCAAGACAGCTAATAATACAACCGACGAAATCCTCGGCTACCTTCTTCACCAGCCGGACGAAAGAGTACAGGCTTGAACTAGATGTGAAGGTCGATGACATAAAAATTCCGACGACAAATAACCCAAAAATATTGGGGGTAACTCTAGACAGCGTGCACTCCGCATACGATCGCATTTGCCGCCAAACTCCAGAGCCGCAATAAAATACTCAAAACGCTAGCCGGCAGCACCTGGAGTAAAAAAAGAAACTTTGCTGGCTACTTATAAAGCCATTGGTCGGCCGGTCGTAAACTATGCTGCACCGATCTGGGCGCCGGGGATGAAGAAGCTACAGGCTTGCCAGAACACCGCCCTTAGGACCGCGACAGGAAACATCCTGATGTCGCCGGAGCATCACTTGCACAGCGAAGGATCTATGCTACCAGTTAAGGAGCCTAATGCTTTGCTGTGCAAGCAGTTCCTATTGGGATGCTACCGCAGGGAGCACCCCAGTAGGCACCTAATAGAAGCAGAACCTCCACCTAGTCACATCAGAAAGGGAGTACTAGACTTAAAGGACACAATCCAGCAATATGTACAACAACCGCTGGACAGGACGGCGTACAGACAAGCACTGAACGCCATTCACCAGGAGTCAGTCAACACCATCAAGGACTCCCTTCTAGTGAATGGTGTACTCGGAAAAAAACCACCACCTATAACAGACAACGAGCTCGAGCTGCCTCGAGAGACCCGCGTGACCCTGACACAGCTTAGGTCTGGATATTGTAGCAGGTTAAACTCCTACATATCCAGACTAGACCCCAGTATACCCAACGTATGTCCTGCATGTGGAGAGTCTCCGCACGACACTAACCACCTCTTCACTTGCCCTCTCAAACCAACTCATCTAACCCCATCTCCCTCTGGTCCAATCCCGTCGAAACAGCTCGTTTCCTGGACCTCCCACTAGATGACCTCGGTGACTTTGACTGATCAAACCTGTGCCTAAGTGGGGTTAGCGAACCGCTACAACAACAACAACAACAGCAGCCGTTTATATACAGAGACAGCCATGTTGCTTGACAAATTCTCTTTTACTGGAATCTGATACCTACTGACAACCATATTTTGCATCAAGGCGAATTCGATATATTGAAAAATCTAGCTTTTAACGGTCTACCTGACGTTGGAGCCTCTCTCTCCTACCACAAAACCAACGAACAACCACCCGAAAGTACAAACTGGAGACTCTCCACATGACACTAACCACCTCTTCACTTGCCCTCTCAAACCAACTCATCTAACCCCCTTTCCCTCTGGTCCAACCCCGTCGAAACAACACGTTTCCTAGACCTCCCATTAGATAACCTCGGCGATTTCGATTGATTAATCAACAACAACAAACAAATACATTTGTAACACATTTACTTACCGACGTCCGCAGCGACCCATAATGTTAAACCCAAAATATGTCAGTATTTTCCACAAGTGTTTGTTCACATTTCCGGTGTGCACAACGAGGACGCATGAGCAGGATCGGACTGTTTCGGGCAACCGAGGGCTTATGTGGAACACAGTATTTATATACATGTTTAGGTTAGCTTTCAATGGATGGTGACAATTTTTCATACATAAGTACGAGGGGCGGCCTAAAGTATTTAATTGAACAAAAGTATAGTTTTATGTTTTCTATTTTTTTAATAAAGTCTGCCTCAAGTGAAATACATTTTTCACATCGTGAATACAATGCCTTTATACCGCTGAAAATTTTTTGTTTAGATTTCTCTTCAAAATGGGTTTCTACGGCGGCTTTGAGCTCACTGTCGTGTGAAAAACTTCGTCCCCGTAACCCTTTTGTTAGATCTGAAACAAAGAAAAGTCCGGACTGTAGGGTGGATGGTCAATTTCTGTAAATCCACTAGATTTGAAGCCATCCCTCGGAATCTGAGTGGGGTGAACGCGTTGTCTTGAAGAGACATCACTACTGTGCGCGCTAACTTGCCACGGCTCTTCTATACGACTGGCCGTTCATTGTAGTTCCCTTTGGCAAGTATTCAATTGTGCATATTCTCTCGCTATTCCAGAAAGTGGTTGCCATAATCTTCCACTGCATCGACTACTGTTTGTATTCGGGATCATACTGACGAATCGAAATCTCATCAACGGTTACAACACAGTTGCGAATTTCATCCAAATCAGCTTGGCACAATTTCGAAAAATCTTTACAACATTCCAATCGTCGCTGTTGTCCAGCGGCTTGGCAATACTTGGCATCCAACACACACTAATTTTTTTCATATTCAAATATTCATGCAAAATCTCTCCAACTCGTTCTTTGCTAATCTGTAATCCTTCTGCTATCTGCAACAATTTAGTTCTTCGATCAGCCAGTACTAATTTTTCGACTTGCTGAACATTTTCTCCGCTCACGACCGTCACTGGACATCTTCACAGGTCTCTCTTGATTATTGAAACAGCCGAGCCTATTTCTTCATCATCGTATAATGAAGTGGTAGAGTACTGAAGAACCCATGACAACTCTTTAAAAATTTCTTTCGACGTACTGCCTATTTTACAAGGAACTTAATCACAGTGAGAGGCTCCAAATTGCGAGAATTCTCAGTTTTCGTTGACATGGTGTTGTTGTTTGTGCTAGGAACGAAATGTTAATGAACCGAATGAAAAAAATTGTGTTATTTATACCAGAGTATGTAGAATAACGAGAAGGACCGATTGCGGACGGCGTGCGAACTGCCAAAATCGACGAAAGAAATGAGAGACTATTTCACCACTACCGCCAGAAATTTACACTGTTTGTCAACATTTCTAAGCAAAATAATAATAAATTAACAAAATAATTGTCTCCCAAATATCATTCTTCTGTAAATAACATGCCAGTCTCTGGTAGTTCGCTATTAACCAGCGGTGAAATAGTCTCTTACCAATATCGTATAGAGGTGAAATAGTCTCTTTGCAATTCCGTAGGTGGAACAAATGGCAATCGACACGACCCGGTCCCTCTCTTTAATATACGTGCTCTGATTTATATTAAGGGCGGAAGCTGGTCTAGAGCGCAAAAAAATGGGCATATTTTATGAATTTATTTTGACTCTAGAAAAGAATCAATCCAAAATCTGTGAAATAGGTTTAATAATATAGGCTTCATGGTACAAATACAAAATTTTTCTTGTGAATTTATTTCGAAATGGCCGCTGTGCAGCATTTCTCCGAAGACGCATTTTTTTCTAATGGGTCCATGGCCGAAGATGTTAACTCCTTAATTTTTGTCTTGGTTTAAAAAATAATTTTTTTTAGTTTCTATATAACAACAGCAAGAGACGTAAGTATAATTTCTTCAATATTTTGTTTTTTGAACAAAAAGGTTCAATTTTCGGAGAACGGTATTTCTAATGTACTGTCAAAATTTCTAATCGGTGAAGATTTGTTCGAGTTATGTCTTCGGCCGGTTTAAAAAAAGTGGTTTCGAGAAAAACGCGTTTAAAGTTGTAGGTCGCTCAGGGCATACTTGCAAGGCACTGCCGTCGAATGAAAAATTTGGGCATTTAGACATTTTTGGCGGCATCCATCTTTTGGTATGTTATTTCTAAGACCCTAAAGCACCTTTTAAGACAATAAATTTTTTTTTTCGATTTTTTCAAAACTCTTGACCAGCTTCCCCTCTTAATAATGAGTATGGCAATTAGTGTAATCAGTTACGAGATGACGTGTCATCTCTAACTACCTTAGATCGTGAATAAGTCAGCCGCTATTCGTATGCGTTACATCTTCCTGGTTCGCCCTGAGCCAATTCTATCAATTTAAAATTATAATCATATATATCCAAGTAGCTTTGACTCTCTCAGCCTCACACTTACATATTTACATTTATTGATATATACAAAATTTTTATTTTTTTGTTTCATTTTTATTTTATTATTAATATGTGGTGTGTTTATAGTTTAGTTTTCTCATGAATGAATCACATTTATAAAATGTTGTTATTAAACTGCCGAATCCTTTCGAGACTAAATGAACGAATGCAATACCCATCTAAACTTTTATAGTATCTAAATTCACTTGAATATTTGAACTGACAATATTACTCAAAGTACATTTGTATTTGTCTAGCTTAAACCGAATAATTAAACTAGTAACATTACAAAGGAAATATGTATATAAGTATGTATGTAAGTATCTGCACAGTTTTTGTATTTGTAGATATATTAGTGTGTATGTATGTAGATTGAAATATCTCCACATTCATTTATACCTTTTGAAATTTCTACTTCTATGCCGCTGAGTCACCACCATACAGCCGCGCTAGCTTTCTCACACTTGGCTTGCCTTACAAGTACATGCCATTCACTAGGAAATCAGCCTCATGTGAATAAGGCACCTTACCGCCCATGCGACGTGTACGTCGACCCACCGTACGCATGCGACAGCCAATGAGTATGCCGAGCGCGGCGGTTACTAGTAGACCAAGGGTCAAGGAGAGCATTGCACCACCGGGACGCTCCGATTGTCCATCATGGTCACGAAATTCTAAGCCAAGATTTTCATGTATTAACTTATATTGCTCATGGACAGGCTGGGGTGCTGGCGCATGCTGTCTTTGTTCCACTAGTGCTAATTCAATTGGATCCATATGAGCCTTGGCCTTATCGGCTTTAGAAGGGTTGCTAGTTGGCTTCTTGTGCTTGTGTTTCTAAAATAGAAAAAAAAATGAGAAAATTATTGGAAATAGCGCAACTACTTTAGAGTGTCGTCGTACCTTTTTTGGTGGCTCTGTTGACTCTTCCTCATCATAATCGTCATACTCCTCTGCGACGCCTGTTTTAGACGCGCTAGCTGGTACAGCTGCGGACTTTTGTGTTACAGTTGTGCTCTGTGATTTAACAGAACTCAAAGGAGCTGCCACGTGGACAGTCGATTGCTGAACTATTTGCCGCGAACCTGCTGTTTGTGGTTGCTGTTGTAATGAGGATTTACCAATCACATTAATCCCGACGCCGCTTTCTATGGGCGCTTTAGCTCCTGTTTGTACCGGTTGCTGTTGTTGCTCTGCTGTGTTAATTATGTAAGGTTGTAGGGGCAGGGCTTGTTGTTGCTGCTGCGGTTGCTGCTGCTGCTGTGGAAGCTGATTGCGCTGTGGTGTCGTTACTTGTTGCAATAACTGCTGTTGTTGTTGTTGCAATTGCCACTGTGCATTGGGTGGCATCATCAAGTTACCTTTATTTATAAGTTAGTTTAGAGGTTTAGTACATATTGAGTATGTAATATGTTAAGCATACTATATATATTTACTACATATGTATATACAATGTACGAAGTAAATAGAAATGAAGAGAATTTTTAAATTCCGCGAGCTTGTCATATTGATGTAAAAGCTCATGAAGTTTGTTAAAACTTGTAGCTGCTTCCATTGGTGACTTTGTCTGTGACAGCTTGGCGATTTTGGTTTCTTAAAAGAAATGGGTAGTGCCACACGGAAGGCCAGGATTCGAGTCCTGATCCTGATGATCAACATCCCAAAAATTACGAAATTAAATTAATTTTTCTGATTGTGGTCTCCCCTCGGCGGAGAATGTCAAGCTTTTCGAGTATATTTCTGACATTTAAGAAAGGCCCTCATATAATCGCCGTTCAGAAGCGGCTTAGTATAAGCTGTAAGTCTGAAATTTTGCGTTAAACATGAGTGCGATAAAGTTTGTGAAATGTTACTACGGTAAGTCTGCTAAGAGCAAAGCAAGAGTCCACGAGTGGAGTAAGCCTTTTTCAAGAAGAAGACGTCGAAGGCAATGGACGTCCCAGTACTACAACCCTCCATGAAATGGTGGAAAAAATAAAAGAAGCAGCCACGAAGAATCGCCAAATCACAATTAGAGAAGTCGCTGATGATGTTGGCTCATAGATTGGATCGTGTCATTACATTTTTTCCAATGATTGCAGCAAAGAAAAAATAATTAAAAAAAAATGAAAAATCGAGTTTATGGATACAACAGACACATTTTGGTTCAAAAAAACCCGGTATGGCCCGAGAAGTGCGATCGCACGGAAGGTTATGCTCACTGCTTCTCCGATTTTAATTTCATAGCGTGCACAATATGGGGTTTCTTGACCTTACGTTATTTCCAAAAACAAAGGGAACCTTAAGAGGCAGTCGTTTTACAGCCGCAGATGAAATAAATAGCTAAAGATCTTCTCAAGGAGCAAGTACGAGATGTGTCTGATGGGGGGAACATCATTTTCGTTACTTTTTTTAACACACCTAACACGCATACTTTGTAGTGAAATATGCATCTACTAGTCAGACTTATACCAGTTTTCTTCCTGAATATCTTAACAAAATTTTAGCAAGGGGAATGAATTTAACTCATTATCTTTTCACTGAAAATATTCTTGAAACGAATTTCGTGATTTTGGCATGAAATACCACTAGTCATGGTTTTGTCCCTTTTAAACTAGTATGAGTGTGGTATATTTCTGATCGAAATCTAACACTTGTCATCTATAAGGCCATTGTCTATTCTATCTATTTAAAACCATCATTTATATATATGAAAAATACAGTAGGATAATAGATGGGGCTAATTTGGAATACTAGTATTACCGGGCGAGAAATGTTACTACAGGGTAACTACAATGGATAAGAGAAGAGGTCTGCTCAAAAAAAAAATTTACATTTCTCAAAAAAATATTGAGTGTTCTGAAAAAATGGCTTCACATTCAAGGTGTGGGCGAATTCGGAAGCAATGACTGGAAAGGTTTCAATAATCAACGTATTTTCCTTGCACCAACATCGTTTTTTACTCCTTCAAAACTGTTGAAACCCATGGAACGCTTGTAGACAAAGTTCGTCCTGAACAACCCAAAAAGTTCGAAGATGAGGAATTACAAAACAAATAGAACAAACTGAACTAGCGATTTTTCCCCTCTTGACCGCAAAGAAGAGAGTTTAAAAAAAACATCCACGTTTCAAAGGTCATACTCAGCATAGAGCGGGACCAGACGGGTGTGGTGCGCTTTGAGCTGCTAAAACTAGGCGAAACCTTTGATGCGAAGGGTTATCGACTACAATTAATGTGAAAAACGTCCAGAAACGATCGAATGCATGACAAGGTGATTTTGTAACCTGACGGCGCTCGGCCCTACGTGGCTGTTACGGGCAAAAACTACCTGGAAACGCCAAAATATGTTGTTTTATCACACCCTGCGTCTTCTCCAGACCTTGCTCCTTTCGGTCACTGACTTTTTCGACAGACTCAAAACCACTTGGAGGATCACCGATTCGGCATAGAGAGAATATCCGAAATTTACCACAGAGTTGGGCGAAGGTGGTCACTTTCGACGGACAATACTTTGAATGATGTACTTTTTACTTTTTTGAATACAAAAAAAACGGACCGAATTAAATTGTACTACCAAAATTTATTGCCTCCCCCGAGGTCTTAATTTGTAGCGATAGGACTCTGATTTACTCCTTTATATAAATAAGTTCACAGAGGATTATTACTGCCTTCATTACCCAATTCCCGAGCGACGTTCATGCTACGATAATATCGGAATTCCACTGTCAAGATTTCAAGTGTTTTTGAGCACCGCATTCCTTTTTTCAAAAAAAATAAAAATCTGGATATTCATTGATTCGACTGCAAAATATCGCCGCACACCCAAAATATTTATCGCCTTCCGCATCCAACAAATCATAAATCACATAAATTTAAAATCACCTTATTTTTCGAACAAACCTTGTAGGTATGTATACGCATATGACCTTGCTAATATATATATATATATATATATATGTAAATACCTTGTGGCACGATATATTGCTGTTGCTGCTGCTGTTGTTGTGGTGGTGGTGCCATTTGTTGTTGTTGCTGCCGGATATAAGTACCGCCATTAGTTAAATCAGCCATTTGTGGAACATAAATACCGTTACGTTGCATAGCCGCTGTGTTATAAGCTGAATTCAAATTCACGTTGCCATTGTTATTATTGTTGTTGTTTAAATTGGTGTTAGAATAGGCGTTACTTAGCCTACTAACACCTGCATTGGGCACTTGAATGCTTTCCTTGTGACTAGAAATGGGACTATTTAAGTCTACTGTGAAAAGAAGAGCGAATCAATTTATTGTTGTTTTTCGTTACTTATAAATTTTTTTTATTTGCTTTTTTCTCAAAATTTCAAAATTAGCAAATAAAAATATTTTTAAAAACCATATCTTTATACATATGTAAAAATCTTCGAAAAATTGGATTATCGTTTAATTTACTTGAAATTTTGTATATTAGATTAGCATGGGCACTACTTCTTCTACCGGGAAGTGGGCAAGGTACCTATTGATGAAATACTCAGCTCGAGTTTAAGCATTTTCGAGAATGGTTTATATTTGTATAATTTTGTAACTGCTAAAGCCATTTTCGTCCATTTATCAACTACAAATAGACGGACCTAGGCCGCCTTCGAACGGCCGATGAGAAGCTTTTATTTTATGTCTTAAGTACACTCGAAGAGCTTGACATTCCCTGCCCTCGGGCGACCGCAATTTCTCTTATTGACTTAATTTTTTATTTAAATAAATTTTTTATAATTTTTGAACATTGAAACCAGTACTAAAATCCTGGCCTACCGAATGACATTATTCGACGAAAGGGGCCGCTTTGAAAATGGTTTCGGATAAATTATATTCGACGAAGCTATTATTATTTTAATCACCTGCTTTTATCGTTTGCTAAAAAATTTTTTGGAGGTCAAGGGAATTCGATAATGGTTTGGACTAAATTTTTTCTGGGAATCCCATCGACTATGGCGGTCATGTCCTCTAATATGTATTTATGCATTTAAATGTTGTAATTTGCTCTGTAAATTAATTGAAGATAGTAGAAAGAAGAAGAAGTAGTAATGGGATGGGAAGAACCTGTGAGCAGTTTCTTCTTCTTATTCATTGGCGTAGGCACCGCTTGCGCGATTATAGGCGAATCAACAATATTGCGCCATTCGATTGGCGTCAGTTGGAAATACCAAGTCAAACCAGGTCGCTCTCCACCTGATCCTTTAAACGGGTTGGAGGTTTTCCTCTTCATCTGCTTCCTCGAGCGGGTACCGCATCGAATACGTACAGAGCAGACGTGGTTTCATCGATACGGACGACATGATTTAACCAGCGTAGCCGGTGTATTTTCATTCGCTTAATTATGTCAATATCATCGCATAACTCATACAGCTCATCGTTTCGTCGTCTGTGGTATTCGCCATGTCTCCGCACCATATAGCAAAAAGAGGATGATAAGAGATTTGTAGAGTTTGGGTTTTGCTCGTCGAGAGGACTGGAGGATGGGACCATGTGTAGAAGTTCAAGCAAGTGGGGCAAGTTTTTGACTGCCATTCACCTGGGAGTGGGCAGAAACACGGGAATCGGTCAATGCTATTAGATTTAATTTATCAGAGTTTAGGTTCGGTTCCTATTGTCCAACGACTTTGGCTTAATGCACATATACCAATTTATCGAAAAAATCGCCGTTTGTGCCGACTCACTGCCCTTCGACTTTGCCCTTTTGGAATCGAAAGATCTGGCAAGGTATTAGTTGGTGAATTTACGTAAATACATGGAGTAGAAGCCGCAGACCAACCGGGTCAGCATGACGAGTTGAGTTGATTTAGCCATTCCCATATGTCCTTCTGTTTATACGTAAACTAGCCCCTCATATTATGAGATATTTCAACTATCTTTGTAGCGTTGGCACATTCAAACGATTATTTGTCAGAACCGGCTAAAAGGAAATACCATAAATTTGATATGGCCTGGAAAGGTATAAAGTCTTGAGTTGAGTTGAGTTGAGTTGAGTTGAGTTGAAGCGGTTGATGGTCAAACCCCAGCACACTTAGGCCAATAGGTCCATTGTGATACCGCTGATGCACCCGCCTTCACCATCTCAAATGATCGAACCATTTCGTGTGCCTTATAAAGGCAACGAGATGATGGCTGGACAGTGGCAGATGGTCTCCTCCTCTTCGTCGTCCCTAAAGCCGCAACAGAAATCGGTATAAAGCCTTAGGCGTTGCCGAAACAGCTTTTCTTTCTTTTTTACTTAATATACACGTATGTAGCTGCCCATCGATAGAAAAGGCATCAAGACGAGCATCTCAATTCGGTTACAAAAAGCAAGCTTTATGTTAATATGCATGTATGTGGGGTACCTATATATTGTTGGATCAAAAAGGTTTAAGTATTTTTATATAATTTCACATTGTGGAATAAAGTTCAAAATACTATGAAATCAGTTCAGTCGGGAGTAAAAATCAATAACAAATCGGATTTGTAAAGCTGCGAGTAAATAGAATAGAAAAGAAAGGCTCGTGCACAGACATAATCATCGTTACACTAATAAAAATAAAATGTAAACTCATTACTGCTTGTTAACGGTGCAGAACCGACAGATAGGAATATTTACATGAAATAAGCAAGTGAGTAAATATATCGATAGATTAGTACGGGCAAGAGGTCATTAAACGAAGCTGTGTGTGTAGGAATATCAATTGTAAAGATTAATATAAACAAATATATATATTTGCATTTACAGTTATGTTTTCTACAGCTATGTATTTTTCATTTGCAAATGCAATTAAGAAACTATGTAATCAAATGAAATTAATATGAAATTACGAGGTTTGTTCAAAAAGTATCGCGATTTTTGAATTTTCGCGGGTTAATCGAATTTCGATTTTTTTGTGGCTTTATGTTGGTACTCATGTCTGTCACTTATGCCGACAAGCTCGGCCATTTTGAATGTTCACTTAATTTGTGACAGCTGCTTGCACGTGTTTTGGGTGGTCTTCGATTTTTACCTATTCAAAAAAATGGATTAAAGAACCTGTACGAATGTTAACTGTGGCATACAGAGAAGCTACCTTGGACCGAAGCAACGTTTATCGGTGGTACAAAATGTTCGCAGAAGGCCGAGAAGATGTGAACGACGAAGAGCGTGCCGGACGCCCGAGCACTTCAACAACAGACAAAAAAATTAATTGCAGGGGCGTGGTGCATCATGAGTTCTTGCCACAGGGTAGAACGGTCAATAAGGAATATTGCCTGCGAGTTGTGCGCAATTTGCGCGAAGCAATCCGCCAGAAACGCTCGGATTTGTGGAAGAACAAAAATTGGCTTTTGCACCACGATAACGCCCCTGCTCGCACATCAACACACTAATGATGCCGCAGCCACCATATTCCCCAAGTCTGGCCCCCTGTGACTTTTTCTTATTCCCTAAACTGAAGAAGGACGACGTTACACTACGATTGACGAGATAAAGACGGCATCGATGGAGGAGCTGAACAAGTTAAAAAAAAAATGATTTTTTGAAGTGCTTCGAAGATTGGAAAAACCACTGGCACAAGTGTATAATATCTCATGGGGATTACTTTGAAGGGGACAAAATAGATATTCATGATTAAATAAATAATTTTTGAAAAAACACAAAATTCGCGATATTTTTTGAACACACCTCGTATTATTGTGGCGACCGCAATAACCGAACTGTTAGTAATGTGCGCTAATTTGCGGGTGATAATGGTTATTTTGATCTTCAACGAAACCGTTTCAGAGATATACATATGTGTATATTTCTCAAGTAAAAAGTATTCCATTATTTTTGCAATAGATAGCTTTAGGGATCTGTATCTTTCATTCTATAAGAAGGATTGGATTACGCTAGCTGGAGTAAGAAAGATAATATTTTTACTAGAAGAGGTGATGGAAGAGGTGTTGACTATTTAACTCAGTAGTGTTTTGTATGTCAAAAATAGCACTCAGCTTAGAAACAGCCACTCATGCACAATTTTAATTTCGTCGATTTCCTTCCGGTTATTTTGATGTAAAAAATGTTCCACGGTGTGGAAGGCCAATTGTCGAAAATGTTGACCATTATGTGAGCAGTGTTTCGGAGCCACTTGAAAAGGCTGGATTACATAAGGAAGCTCGATCTATAGATAGCGCATGAGAGAACGTAAAAAATCTCATGGACGGAATTTCTATCTGCTAAACGCTGCTGGTTCGTAACAAAATCGACTTATTTCTGAAGCGGACGTTGGGTGGTGATTAAAAGTGGAATTCTTATAACAAAGTCAAACGAAAACGGTCATTATGTCATTATGCCTCTCTCATACAAACCCACACGCCAATTTTCCACTAGAGACAGGAACAAATCAGTAATGACTTGGTGTGAGGACCGTTCTATATAGTGGATACACAACAACCTCCCAACCAAGCTTTTGAAGCTTCTGGCGTGTTACTATCGATGTGCGTGTTCTTCCCCCCTGCTGGCCCAAGCTGGGAGCTTCTGGGCGATTGCTTCCCTCAGACGGTTTAATTAATGACGGTACAAGTCCGAATTGCGACATTTAAACCGATTCAAATGAAATTTTGTAAGTATATTTAAAAGAACTCGAGAACAGTCATATTTATAACACAACAGAGTTGCCACCTATTTCGAAGCAATTTTATTACCACATAAAGTATTTTTTAGGTGTGTCTACGACTGCACACAAGCTAAATATCTGAACCGCGTTGGATAAAAAGATTGATTTAGATTTACAATTCGGAGTTACCACCTGTTTTGAAAATTAAATTTGAAAAATTGCCAGAATATTATCAAATATTATAAGCTGGGAATTAGATTGAACAAATTAAATGCTTAATAACAAATATTTTTGATCAGCGTTGCCATCTGTTTAATTTTTTTTTTAATATAAATGAACTTATAAAATACATTATGGATTACTCGATGGGCGTCGGAGTAAGCTTAATGGTAATAAAAATTTAAGTGAGTTGCCACCTGGTTAAAATTTAATACACTTGGACTGGTTTGGTAAATGTATAATATTGCGGGTAATAAGCTAAAGACGATTTGAAAACTTAGTGTGCCAGGGTTCTACTCTTGGCCCGAGCAAACAAAAAAAATTATAGAAAATTATTTTTTCTAATTCCAGTGTATTTCTGATACGAAATAAAACCTCTTCATAAAGAAAAACATCAGCCGTTTGGAGGTGGAATCAACTGTAGGCACAGTATATGTATATAGCTTGGTTTTTGACAGATTTATGGCCCAAAATCTCAAGCCTGGAAAATCCGACATATACGTGTATATTCTACGATGACCTGGGCGGTTTTTACAAATGATCGTTTAAGGCACTAGTGGTACACAGATAGTAGAAATATCTCAAACACTATGGGACTAGTTTGGGAACAAACAGACGGACATGGCTAAATTGAGTGTAGTCATTCTTATTTCTTATCTATCTGGCAATTTCATACTTCGGTTCAGAGATATTTAACTGCTCCTCATTTGGTTTTAAATTTGGATTTGCAAAAAATGCATTCCCACATCGCTAAGACCAGCCTTGAAGAGCGGATTTTATATATAATTGGCGCTTTGTAACCGCTGAAGCGATTTGCGGCCGAGCTCCTCCTCCAATTGTGGTTTTCGGGTTTTCTTCCAATAAGTGGAGAAACCAACAGTTTATACTAAACCGCCTCAGACCGGCTGATGTTTTTTTTATGAGGAGCGGTTATTTCATGTCAGAAATACACTCGGAGGGGTTGACATTCCCTGTCAGGGGGCGACCGCATTTAAAAAACTTGACTTAATTTTGTATTCTTTTGCAACTTATGAATGTATTTCAGCACCGCAGTTTCCTATATCTCAATAAAACTATATCTACTAACCGTTATTTGTTTCTTTCTCTGTTGCATGTCCAACTGTTTGCGCAGTTTTTCGATTTGCCCAAGCACCAGCGTCTTCCCGATTACCTAGAGTTGGCGCAATAATGGCAGGCAGAGCTTGTTGAATTGATTGTTGGTGTTGCTGTTGTTGTTGCTGTTGTTGTTGCATGGTTTGTTGTGAAAGGGATGGCTGATACTGTGTCTCAGAAGGCAACTGTATAACGGCAGACCATGAATAAATAAAGTTAATACTATAATATGTAAAAATAATGAGTACCTTTTGACCACTTGAATCCAAAGCATTCGTGGATCCTGCATCAGCATTAGCTTTTGCGGTTGAAGTGACGCCAGAACACTAATAGAGTGTAACTCGCCATATTAATACATTAATCTATTATAAAACAAACAAAAGATACTCACTTCAGGTCCCTCATCACTACCATCCTCGCACTGTGGAATGCCGTCGCAAGCATTATAGACAGCAATGCACTCCCCCGAATGGCACGGAAATTGAAAGCGTCCACATTGTACTGGGTAAACTGGAAGAAAAATCAAAGTAATTCAGGAACATATGCACCACATCCGGTAGACGTACCTTTTTGTGGAAAAGCCACACTAATTGGTGGTATTTGCTCCACACCCAGCATAGGCACGGGTCCTGCGGTTGCAACCACATTTGCATTTCCACTGATAGTTGCGGTGCCGGGAACTAACACTGGAGATCCGGCACTTTCTACACCACTAGCTCCAACGGCCGTTGATGCTATCCTATTGCGCTCTTCTGGTTTCACTTTTAGACTTGTCAATTCCCATTCCTGTTGTGAAATGCTATTGGTGCCTTTGACGACTGCCACAGTTGGTTTAGCGGTTGTCTTCTCATTCACATTGCGCGCAACTGTTAGTACGGCACTTGTGTAGTTAGCGTGACGTGTGAATTTGCAATGGAAATTCTCTGGTGGGCCACACTCGAAGAGATAACAATATCCGTCACTTTTATCCTCGAAGACGTAAACGTCACACGATTCCGTTTCGCAACAAAGTCGCTGGCACTCCTCCGCCGTATCCAACTCAAGTCCTTGTAAGTACTTTCCACCGAGCGTTTGTGATTCGCCCGTTCGTATAATGGTGTTTTTGTGGATTTCATATTTGCCTTAGGAAATGGTAGATAAATATTATAGACATATTACTATTACAAATATAAATATATAATATTATGTTTATATATATATCTGAATGAAGCTTGGGAAGGAGGCACGATGGGGTGCGGCCCGTTGGTCAGTTAATTTTTGATGAATTATAGAAGAATAGGGGAATCGTGGTCAGCAATGAGTCAAATATATATAGTAGTGCCCCGATAAACTGTATCAGGAGAAGAAAGCATTTAATCAACCGTAGAAAGGGAGACCATGGAATGGAAGTGCAAGAAAAGTTCTGGAGCGCTGGAAATAATTCAAATATTCGGTAGAATTAATTTGCCATGAGAAAGACTGCCTGAGTTGGGCGAACGCTATACTGCAGCCAATCCGATAACCACTGCTCCTTAATGGAATTTCATAGCCAAAAATCGATTTAAGTCATCGATGCACTGTTGCTGGGTTCATCCACGTCGGGAAAATGTGAGCGATTTAATTTCATATTTTGTCTGAGATATATATTTAAAATTATTGTAAACAACCAAAAACATCGCTCTTTTGCCAAAACATTGCGGGTGTGTAAAATATCGAAAATTTCAAAATTTAGCATAAAGTTGTCAGTTGCCAGATTGCAATACTAGGGTTGCCAAATGCCGAAATAAAAAAGTAATCGTCGTATTAAACTTGTAGTATTAAACGGAAGCTACTCATTAGTACTAACATTTCCTCGAATGATGAGCCTTTTTTGGGACCAATTTACTATACTTATCGTCTTAAGAGCTTTGCCAAATATTGAATCTCCAACATAAAAATTCACAATTCTACAATTCCGTGCTTTTGTCTACATTTTTTTTCTCTCATCTCAAAGTACTTCAAATATGAAGTTTTTCAAGAAATAAATAAATAAAAAATAAATATGTTAATAGCGATAGAAAAATAATAATTACATATTTCCCAACAAGCGTCCTCATAAGCAAAGCATCGGTTAGTTAAAAACAAAATGATAAAAATTACAATAAAAAGGTGGGCGGAAACTAACTGCAATTCTATCATGACGCTACCCAATTCTTCGTAATTATTCGTGTTACCATTTGCTTTAATCAGATCCAAGCATAGCTAGTCGCATATAAATGGCTGGTTAATTAGTGAAGCCTCGTTTACGAATTGTTGAGATAACAAACTTTCTCCCAAACAAAAAGAAAAGTTCACAAAAAAAAAATTAAAGAAATAGAAAAACTTATCAACGAATTTCATTTGCATATCTACATTTTTACAAAAAAAAAAAAAAAACAGCAATTTAATGAAAATAAAGCAACAGCTGGTGCTCAGGAGCCACAACCAAGTGGCATTACAATGTCATGGCAGATGCACTACAACAAACAAATAAATGTAAAAAATGCTTACAATCGCAACATACATGTATACTATGTTCATATATGTATGTATGTACAATATATATAAAAAAAGGTATACATTTAAAAATTCGAAATTTACCAGCCGAATCAATGCATTTAAATGAAGACGGAATTTAAAAAGTAGAAGAAGAAGTTGTGGTAAACCTCAGCTAAAGCTCACCTTTACATGAATATATATGTGTATGTGTAATCGCTCAGCCGTTCAATTTCAATTTAGAGTCAAACAATAGTTTTCTCTGCCTCAAAGCCCACAGCACGCTAGCAAAAAATGCTGCATTTAGGTAAGCTTACATTAGGGTGTTTGTATTTTCCACCTCCTTTTCTTACAAATTCTAAAGTCTAGCAACTGGAAACAGTTTTGGCAATAACATTTTGTAATGGGTAAGAAAATATTGATTGTGATTCTATTACGATCACTTTTTAAACCCACCATCCTTAAGAGGTAATGCCATAGTACACTAAAATATGGTCAAGTATTACATATCGAAGTAATTCTTGATAAAAAAAAAATTTTGTTCGACTCTACTTGCTGGCAGCAGGATCAACAAAGCACCTCGAATGCAGTATTCCGGACGAAATACTATTGGTACCTGCGGTCTTATAAGTCATAAGTTTAAACTTAAATATGGTCCAGTAAGGTAGACGACACTACAGAAGATGTGCCGGGTAAAACAACTGGAATGGGCGCACTTAGTTATTTTCAGAAAAGGCTTTGGAAATTATCCTGGACAACTTACAACTGGCCGCCAAAAGTTCTAGACAATTATATCCAATTTGAACGGAAAAAGGTAATCTTCAGCCAGATGCATGCCTACTATTACTTCCCAAGTAGAGCAGATTTGACAAAACGAGAGAATAACGGTAAAAGTAAAGAAATTTTTATACATGCCTATGGGTCTAAATATGACGCATACGAACTCCCAGCAGGGGCAATGGGTGATAATTACCATACTCGAAGGGACAGTAGGGAAATGTACACTGCTGGATCCAAGCTTGAGGAAAACGTTAGCGGAGTTGTTTTCTCAAGAAATCCTCCGATGGAAGTCTATTTCAGGCTACATCAGACAGTAATTAAAGCACTGGGCTTCCTTACGCTAAGTTCCAATTTAGTGTTGGACTGTCGCCGATCTCTTCAGAAGATGGCCAAAATAGAGCAGACTGTCTCGCACTTAGATCTCCGATCACAGAGACATCGAGAGAAACTATAAGGTGAATGAGCTTGCTAGGCAAGATACGACCAAGCGTTTCATAAAGAACGCATTGGAATGACTTTTACCAATTGCAAACTGCTTATCAAGAAATTTACATATGATGAACAAGCGGAAATGATACTACAACCTGCCGTAAACCCTGGTACACCTGGATAAGAAGAGATCACGAAATATGTCCTCCTTAAATAGAGTGGTCACGTCCAAAGTATTGGGAGTTCTGGCAGGCCACTGTCTGATAGGATGACACGCGGAAGACTAGGTTCTCCCTATAGAAGATTCAGCAGACGGAGCATGGAGGATGAGGACGAACTGACCGGATTTGAACAGGGCTAGGTTTCGGAATTTGGGACCCTACTACTCATGGATCTAATGAGGTTCATTACAGAATCAAAATGGCTGAATAATGAAGCCTCATTTAAGCTTTTGTGGCTTCACAATGGATCTTAGTCAGGTCTAAGTAAATCCGATTTCTTATAGATAGCCAAGTGGCAATTAAGGCAATTAAGGGTGAGAGCATGAAAATGAACAGACTATTACAGGAAATGCGGTGAATATTACTTAGATACAAGGTCATAAGAATGTTGAAAGTAATTAGAAAGCGGAAGAGGTGGCTCTCGATAATGTTGCTAATAGGGTTCTCACCATGAGATGCATTTGACCATGCAGCACCTACCAATTTCTTTCAAAATTGTGCACCATGTGTGAACAACTAAGGTCACGGAGCAATTACAATGTAGGTCATAACACTAAACCACAATGGGGCAGCGTCGATTGCAAACTAGAACCTAGTTGTCTTGTAGGACAACAGGAATTTCTCTTCCTGAGATATCACCATCACAAGCTAGGTAATTTAGAATCAGCGGAGTGCAGAGTTTGCACTGAGGAGGACGAAACACAGGAGCATCACTCCTGGAAATGCCCAACCTTCAGCCGCTCGAGTCATCAAATCTTCCATGATGCTCCGATTTTCAACATTAAAAAGATGGATACTCATTAAATCGAGCGAACTGTTCGCAATGCACAATTGGAATAAGTGGGCGAGCACTAAGAGTACTACCGCCCGCGGTCAAGTTATCAGCCATGCTATTCTGATCACTTTGAGAAATAAAGAAAAATTCTGCTCCTATGAACCTTATGTCCATATATGTATATAGTTCAACATATTAAATTATTATAATTTTTTTCAAACTTTTCTTTTTTAACTCTAATATTTAACTTCCATGAAAGGCGAAAACCCCAACCTAATAAATATGAGACACCCTAATGCACTCCACTCTACTACGATCAAAATTAATGTTATTTTACTTACTCAAACATAGCTCCAAATCCATTCGTTTCGCCAAGCGATGCGTATCGTCGGCGGTAGCTGCAGCGACCGTTCCGCTAACCACACCTGTCGTCTGTGTGGCAACCCAACTTGCATAGCCATCATTCGATTTATAACCGATCGTGTTGGAACTACAGCAGGTGCGCGAGACATTCTCAGTCAGAAATAGGAAAATTATGGCTAGGAATTTTGCGGTCTCAGCTGTTTGGCGCAACAGACGTGTGTTGGACGCGTGCGCAACGCCCATTAAAATGTGATTACGAAACATATGCGGCGCAGAGAATACCAATACAAGAAGATGAAAGGCTGAAATTTGGTTTGATTTTGTATTGTGCGGGTGTTTTGGGAGTTTTGGAATATTTATTTTGGCTTTTTCTCAGTTTGGGATTTACCGTTGCACGAAGAGATTTTATTTAAACAATTTACCAATGCAATGCAGCTTTTGCGTGACATGACATTGCACTCAAGTACATATACGTACTCGTGGATATGTTTATCTACCTCATTACTTCATTACTGTTTGAGTATAAACAGCGCGAGCACGAAACGGGCTGAGTAGTAAGGTAATGATGATGTACATGCACACATACATATGTAAATATTGCAAAAATATGTTTTTTATTGCACTTTGCGTTGTATATACATACATAAAATTATTTTTAATTGATTGTATTTTTAAATTTTTATTACAACAACACTTCTTACATCGTTTAATTAAATATTTTTGTTATTTTTTGCTCTCGCCTCGAAATCAAACTACAGTTCTCTGTATAAGTATTGATTTTTCAACGCATCTTATCTTTTGCTTGTTTTCCTTGTGTTGTTTTTCTTTCGTGCACAGAAGCTCAATCATTTTTATAAACTTTTCATTTTCATTTTATGCTTTATTGATTTTATTAATTTTAATGTTAATTATTTTTTTTTTCATTAGTTATTATTATTAGTAACTGTATTTTCGGGTATAAAATTTATTTATTTCTCTGCAACCGCTCCAAACATGTCTGCACAAAACACGAACAAAGTCTCAAAGTCTGTTTGCTATCAGAATGAAAATATTCCAATAGAAAAGAGAACCAAAGAAAAGCCTAAAAAAGCTTTCAAAGAATGAAAGTCAAATAAAAACAATTTGAGTGAAAATGAGAGACAGAGGATGAGAAGGCATGAAATTGTTATTGTTAAAAAAGAAACTATATATTATATTACGGTAATTTCAAATTATTTGTAAATCATCAGTTTTTGAACTGTATTAAACCGAAATGAAATCTTTTTGGTGATGACGAAGTTTAATATTTTAAAAGGCGAAAACTGTATAGTCAATCGTAAGATTCTTCTAGGATATTTGTCTAAATTCAGACATGAGAATATTTACAAAGTGTTAGTAAATAATCGAATGCTTGTAATTTGCTTAATCTTGCTAATATTTTGACTTTCCACGTTCCCACGAATAACTTACAACACTGAAAGCGCTTACAACAACGTTGCCACCAAGCTTTTTGGAATATGTTTACATTTTTGACCAAGAAAAAGCTCGAAAGCAGAATGAAGTAGTGCTTCATTTTGACAAGTATTTTCATATACAAACATACATATGTATATAAGCTTTTAGTAAATTAACATGAGACTTTGACATATCCTTATAAATTTTCTTTCTTTCCTTAACATGAAATGGATTAACTTTGCTCCAAAGTATGTATATAAGTACCAGAAAAACAAGAGAGAGGCCCAACAAAACGAAAACGTATAGCGAACCATCTGTTGGACGCAAACTTATCTCTCAGGTTTTCAGATATTTGAATAAAACTTGGTACACAGATGCACTGGTGCATCTAAACGATAACTTTCGAAACAGTTGAGATTTGACTATTATAGCATATACGCGGATTAACAAAAGTTCGATCAGTTGTTGACTGTCAATTTGTTTTTGTTTAATCTAAAGAAACCAAATCCTTTGAATTTACTTTATTAGTCTTCCTTTCAAATTTTAGAACGATCAGCTAAGATGGAGACGAGAAAACGCAGGATAGCTGTGGATACGTCAGACGAAATTCCACCATCAACGCAAATAGAAATTCGCCTTTTGATTCTCTTCGGGTTTCGACGTAATATACAGCCAATACAAATATTCAGTGAATGCCAATTTGCGTATGGAACGATTGCAACGTCTTTAAAAGACTATTTCTAGATAATTCCCATGGTTCCAAACCGAACATTTTTCAGTAGAGGAGGAGCTCCGAGAAGGTCAACCGAAATCTTCAACTGATGACGTCACTATAGCTCTGGTGAAGTCCGAAATTGGCGGAGATCCACGGTTGACACAAGAAATGATTGCTAATGAAATGGGCTTGAATGCCATGGCTGTATCGCGAATATCTGGGATACACGTAGATATCTGCTCGATGGGTACCACGAATTTTAAATGAGGCATAAAAAAACTCGAGTGCACTTTTTCCTAAACAAACTCGAAAATGGCCAGTCCAGTAACTTTTGTAAAGTCATTACTGGTGACAAATTTTGGTTCTTTGAGTACGATCCAGAAACCAAACAGCAGTCCATAGTATGGAACACAACATTAGCAAATCCACCCGTAATACCTGAGCAATAAAAATCAGCAGCAAAAGTAGTGATGTCAGCTTTACACTGGAAAAGGGAAAGACGGTAACTGCGAAGTGATACACCAAAGAGTGTTTACCAAAAGTTTTCAAAAATATATTGGAAAATAGGAAGAAAGAGGATTCACGGCGCTACTTTTTACATCATGCCAACGCGCCATCCCACACAGCTGAAATAACGAGTAATTTTTTTGCGATCTCTGGGTCGAAGACATACGTCCAGCACCATATTCATCGGATGTGGCACCTTGTGAGTTCTTGTAATTTCCAAAAATTAAAATCAAAATTAAAAGAAAGGCCTTCAATAGCTACGACGAGATAATAAATGAGGTTAAAGCTGAACTTGATAAGCTTAAAAACCGAGATTTTGAAGACTGTTTTCAGAAGTGGATCTATAGGCTTAAGAAATGCATTGAAATCAATGGCGATTATTTAGAGAAGATAAAAAAAGACAAAGATTACGAATAAATACAAAAAGACGTTTTTCGTTTTTTTTCTGGTTAACTTATCGAACTGCGACCTTCTGCGACTGGTTTCAACCGATTTCGAAATTTTTCACCACCAATATTTAATCCATTATATGTATGTATGTCTACAGAATACCAAATCGCACACTCTTTTGGTTTTTTTTTTTTGATCAATTTTTGCACAAAATCTCAAATCCGAAAAATCGGTCTTGTACATACATATGTATATGCTGCAGCGATGAGATCTATTCGGTTCCGGCAAATTATCATTTAAATGTGCCAATGCATTTGTGTACCAAGTTTGGTTGGAATATCTTAACCAACGATTAAATGATTCTGACTCCTGATTCTGCCTGGTTCGGTAGACATTTTAATGGATCTACCATTGACAATTTAACATAATTTCAATATGTTAATTTGTAAATATTTGTATGATATTTATCTTCTTCTTACTTAATTCAACTGACAGTTCAATATGACAGTCTACACAAATTCGCCTGAACTTTTGCGCTGGCCGGCTTCGGGCAAATAACGCGAGAATTTCTCTCTCGCAAGAGACTTTCAATATTTGTAAGCATACCCCAAGGGTGGTTTGTGTATTGTATTTACTATTCAGCTTTATTTGTTTCGACGTGTGTTTGCCGTTGCCAAAGTTTGGGGTTGAAAATTAAGTTTGTATTAAGCTTCGAACACGTAGAGGAAAATGTGTGACTAATATTGAATAAAGTGCATCAAAGAATACTGGGCAACTAATTGCATAGCAGGCGCTTTGCAAATCTTAACTTTTTTCATTTTTTAATATTATTATATGAAATTTGAAATTTTGCTTAAATCAGCAATTTTTTAAATTTGTAAATCAAAGGTATAAGAAATTCATTGTTATAAACACAATAAAAATTCCAAAAATTTCACTGCAATTATATGGGTCTTTTCGAAAGTACTTTTCGAAATTAATTGCAGTGTAAAGTAAAAAAAAAGCAAGCTTTTCAAAACTACTTTTCGATTATTTGCGCTAAAAAGTAAAATTTCCTTGCTCATAGCTGACTTCATCTTAACAAATATGATTTTGGCCAATAGGCTTTTATGTAGACTAAGGTTGAGAGTCAATGCCAAGAGAGACTGGTAATAGCAGCTATATGTATATGTATACGTATAAATATATGTAAATATGTATGCATGCATTAAAATATCGATTTTCCTCTTAAACAAGCGCTGTGAGGTTTTCGTGTGTTTATGGTTGTTGCTAACTGTCTTTGATAATGGAGCATAAGCAGTCAGCTAGCATATTTTTATGCTAAAATATGTACTTAAATATGTATGTAGTGTATATACACTTACCTTTATACATACAAGTATGTATGGATGAATATGCTGAACACATATCAGCGCAGGATATTTAATATATTGTATATTTAGTATGTATTTATATAAACATTTACATATAAATGATGCTGTATTATTTTATCTCAAAGCTAATAAAAATGTACATTTATGTAGGTATGTATACGTATGCATACAATTACTTTTTCGTTACTGTAATTTTAAATAATTTTTTATTTTCGAATAAATTTATCAGTTAAGAATTCTAAATTAAATAAGTCATTTTCAAATTGATCTCTCTAACATTGTAGGTGTTGCGAATAAAAATCCGAATCATACTCGTATAAAGACCCAGCCGCCGCGAGAACTATCGCCAGCAGATATGCCTTACCGAGGGAGAGTTTTTGAACTCTTAACTCGATTTCCGGTTTGATCAAACATTCAAAATTATAAAAAAAAAATATTTTTTCTAGTTGCGGTCGCCCCTGGGAAGAGAATTTCAAGCCCTCTGAGTATATTTTTGATTTGGAAATGAAAGCTCCTCATAAAAATTCAGTGAATTAACTTTAGTTCCTTCCATTTGTTGGAAAAATAAATTTAAGTAGGAGCTCGGCCGGGAATGACTTCAGCGGTTACGAAGTCTCAATTATACATATTTATAGTAACCCTTCTTCTCTTCCCACTACCTGGTATACAGTGTAGGGATTCCAGGTATAATGTTGTCCCATATTTCCCACACCTTTTCTTTTCGTTGTCTGGAAAAACGTACTATTAAATACAGTTGGAATTTTAACACCTTTGTCACTCGCTGAAGAATGGAATTGAAATGAAATATTCATTGATTGGAGATTATACTCTTCAATAGAATTCGAAATGGTACTAGTTTGCTCGAGTGCCTCTGCAATGGATTTCCAGTTTAGTTTAAAGATAGACATAAATTGTGCGTCCACAAACAGAAATGCGAATAAGCACCTTAAAGCAGCCTGATGCGTTAAAAAGACAACCGAAATCCTAATCGTTGTTGAATTTTACCCAGACTCTTCGTTTTTTTATTTTTATTTTTTTTTTTGTTTGCACACAAACATAATTAGCATGACTCCGTATTTTAAATTCATCTAACCTTCAACTAAGGACATTGACTTTCAAAAGCTCTTCCATCGATTTTTA